GTGAGTTACAGTAGTTACAGCAGAGAGGCCATGCAGGCAGCAGCACAGGAGGCGGCTCAGACACAAACGCGCTTTATTAAGGTTGTTTGCCAAACAGCACGAGTCAGTAAATGAATTACACTCTCTACTTTTAGGTTTCTGCACCTTCAGGCTTTCACTTTTGATAAAACCAGAACATCTAACACATCATATGAGTTATTTCCTGCTGCTGGTAACAATTACACTCCTCAGTACTCATGTGGACGCAAACAGACATCAGTTAGCATTTCCACCGGCAGTGTTTTATTTTGAAATTCAGGTCATATTTACACTTCCTTTGGATAGAAAAAGCTATTAGCATCAGTAAAGGTTGATCCATCACTCTCAGGTCTGTTTTTAGTATAACAGCTGGAAGTTATTTTGAGACCTGAAGGAGACATATGACCTTCGACCCTTCGAAGTCATCCTGTCAGCCACTTGCAGACCTCTTTCAGCAAGGCTGAAGTCCTGCAGTGACACTAAGTGCAAACATGAACTTTTGTTTCAAACTGGCTTAAATTTATTGTGAAAGATCATTGTTGTTAGCGAGAGCTGGGCTCTGGTTGAAGCTCACTCCAGTGTGAGGTTATAGCTCAGTGTGATATTTGAGCCTGTCAAAGTGGAGCTGGGAATGTCCTCCAGTGTCTGAGGAACAACATTCAGATGAAATGAGCCAAACTGTGGTGCGTGCCCACGTTTCTCCACACCAGGACAGCGGTCACGTGCTTCTACTCGCCACATTTGCCTCACTGTGTACTTCAAGTGCAGGTGGACAGGCCGAGACTTCAGCTGAGCTGAGAACCGTCCAGAGGTGCACGAGGAGACCAGCTTGTTTAAATCAACTAAGGCTTTTACTGTATTTATTTATTTTTATTCACATCTCTACTGTATGTTACAGACACACAGTTAAAGGCAGTAAGCGGCATGCAGGTCAGATGAAGAGGAAAATGAGGAGGAAGACTCACAGGGTTCGAGACGATGAAGGTTTCTTGACTCTCTGCCACTTCCTCCTCTCAAACAGCCTGATGCAACAAACACACACCATGTTACACACACACACGCACACACTCTCTCTCTGCTTCACCACCAGCAGCCCTCAGCTCCATCAGGAAATCATGCAGCATTCAGAGCAGAAAAACATTATATACGAGCGTGTGTGTGTGTGTGTGTGTGTGTGTACCTGTAGTCATGAAAGCTGCCATGTGCCCGCCCTCCTGCTGAAAAGACAGTTTGATTGGTTAATGAGCAAAGGCAAGGCCACTTGTGATGAGGTATTTTGTTGTCCCTGATCATCAAGTACAGCAGCATCATGTGATCACTCAACTTGACAAGGATCATCTGAATGCACACACACACTGCAGTGTAGTGGTAAGACCACACACCTTTGGAGTGGGAGTTGCAAGTTCGATTCCCACCCAGTATCCAGTAAGGGTCCTAAAACTAAGCCCTGGAATGGCGAGGCTGCGTCTGCAGCCTGTGTGCAGCTCGGACACAAAGCATTTCTCTGTATGATTGTGTATGTGACGAATAATGTTGTTTGTTGTTGACTTGTCACAATGAGAAGCTGGAATTAAGTTAAGCGTTAAGTTGCTGCTGATGCTCACCTTTTTCAGTAATGGAGTGCCACAGGGCTCTAACTTTGGCCCATTGCTATTGACTATAAATGCATCTTTCCATCTCTTCTGATACAATTTTAAAAGCTTCATCCTTTTCAGGGAGCCTATCCCAGGAGTCATGGGAGACAGACAACCATTTACACCTATGGGCAATTACCAAGTAACCTAATCCCACTAACTCCGAATTTCAGTGTGTAAGCAACTGTACATTGACAATAAAAGTTCAAATTCTAAGTCTAATTGAATGTCTTTGAACTTTTGGAGTAAGCCAGAGTGCTCGGAGAGAACATGCAAACTCCACATAGAAAGACCAAAGCCTGATGCTGGAATCGAACTCAGGACCTTCTTACTGTGAGGCAACAGTTCGAACCACCGTGCTTTTTAAAAATTTTAAAACCTGTATCTTTATTTTCAATTTCAGAAAGTTCACATCTCGCTGGAACCCTGAACAGCTTAAAACCTTTGAGGCAGTGTTGCAGCCACTGGCTCTTAATTTGAATCCAGGCTAATTTTGTGGGAAGCACAGACACGCCTCCATGAATACTGGCTGAACAGGTCTGACGTACTCTGCACCTTTTTAAAAAGAACAAAGAACCCTGAAGCTGCTTTCTCTCGCAGAAAACTTCATTGCTGAGAAGATTTCTTATGTTCTCAAAGCTGCCTTAGCAACAACATCTCTATCCCCACGACAGTGAACCAGCATTAAAGTGAATTCAGCCATCAGTATAGCAGAGCACAGGCTCTGAGGCTGCTGAGGGAACAAATGCTGTTCATTCACATCTGCAGGTGGAAATATGCAAATGCATAAAGCTGCTGTCTGAATTGCAGAAGTACAGCAGCTCCAACTGAGCGTTGGAGTTAAAGTTGACAAACTGTCTTCATATTTTTGAGGAAGAATAGTTAAACAGTTCCCGAGTAATAAAAACTGTGCTGTTTAGCAGCAGCTATATGAATGACGTTTGTCCAAGGTGTGTGTGTTTGTCTTACCTGGTTCCACTGAGCGCGTGCGAGGATTACACTGTTTGTGTCCCTTGCACCCTCTGAGCTCCATCAGCTGCACGTGGAGCTGATTGAGAACCGTCCGATCTAAAGAGCTGACAGCATTTATCAGCTGGAAGCAGAAATGAGGAGACAAAGAGAGAGGCGGTAGTTTGTGTGGTTTGTGTTCAGGTAAATTAGATGAGGTGTATCAGCCCAACAGCCGTGGGGCCTCAGGAACTCCACATTTCTCCTGTCATGCAAGTTTCTTGGACGTGTGCATTGTGAGTGTGACGGTCGGGCTGAATGTGTGTCATTTATAAATGAAAGAAATATGCAAACCTGTAGAAACATCGTGTCTCAGGGAAACACTGAAAAACTAGTTTACACATTTTTACTTCTGGGCTGGACGACTGTAATTTGTTATTATCAGGATTTCCTAAAAGCTCCCTGAAAAACCTTCAGTCTTAAATAATCAGGCCCCATCTTATCTTAATGACCTTGTAGTACCATATCACCCTATTAGAGCACTTCGCTCTCGCTCTGCAGGCCTACTTGTTGTT